ATTAAATTAATTTGATTATAATATAATAGCAAATTAAATTAATTTAAAATTTTTATTAATTAATTAAATTAATTTACTTTTAAAGATATTAAAATCTGATTCCATACACACCGTTAACATCCTCATGGACCTCATCACACCCATTTGTTTTTTTTTTTTTTGTTTTTTTCTGGGCCCAGATACCGACAAGGCGTCACCTTTTGTCACATCATCTTTTTCTGTTTAACGAAAGGACCGATGGCTGGCGCATAATTCCGAAATAGGTAGGGACTACTTGTGGCACGAAATGAATGATATGGCGAAGGATGAGGATAAGGATAAGGTCGTGCATCAAATATCTTAATCCTTCTTAGGGTTTAAATCTTAATTAAAACAGCTGTAATATTTTTTTGAATTCTTCGTGTTAAAATAAAAAATGAAGAGGATAACGTTAGGGGTAGAAAAATATCATTTCTGTTTAAATCATAACTAATATTTGATTAATTGAATTTTTTTTAAAAAATTTAAAACCAAAACCAAGATGAACATATATAAAATTTTTTAGTTAGTTAGAAAAAATTTCATTAGCCTAGTTAATATATTAATTTTTTAGTTAGTGATAAGCTATCAATTTATATTAATTTAGATGGTTATCAAACAAATTACTTTAATATAAAATTGATAGTTTATAAATCACTTTAAAAAAAATTATTTTTATACTAAATTAATATAAAGTACATAATTACTAGATTAGTTATTAAATTTAACTAAAAAAAAATTTAAAATACAATTTGTATAAAAAAAATTTTTACTCGAAAGATTGAGAAATAAATAAACTTTACGTCAATAGTAGTTTCAATTAGATTCAATTAATTTTTCAATTGTGGGCAATTCCGCCTACCCATAACTATTTGCATTGAAAAAATTATACCAACAGCTAACTGTTGCAAAAGAATCTTGTTGAGCAAGGGGTGTGAACAAGGAGAGATAGGTTAAACACATGTTAGATGTCCAATGTTCAAAGAGCATCTTTCAAACATGAGGATGCAAATGAAAGATCAAGGAGACAAGGGCCAGAGAGAGGAAACGAGCATAGTTCAAGATTTAGATCAGGAAGTGTGTATGCTATCAAGATGAAAGCAACTCAAGATAGGTGAGGAATAGTGTGGCATATCTATTCATATTTGCAATAATCATTCTGAATTTGTGGGATTGGAGCGAGGAAAACTTGGCACAGCATAACAGTGGCCACCGACAATAAAGAGGATTTAATGAGTGACTTTACAACATTAGTTTCTTAATTCCATTATAAATTTGTTCTTACTCCCTGTACAATGTGGCTAAAACCAACTTTTAGCCCCTCACTTTACAAAATTGGTAGGTTTTAGCCCATAACCTTATAATATGACACTTTTAACCCTTTACCTTACAAAATTGGTAGGTTTTAACCCCTTACCTTACAAAGTTGATAGTTTTTAGCCCCTCACTTTATACTATGACGCATTTAACCCCTTATCTGTATGAATTGAAGAAAATAGCTTCCACTTAACATCAGGTTATAATATTCTGTCAATTCTTTTAGTTGATTGTTAGTTTTGTTAGCTGACTATTAGCATCCGTTAACATTTCGTTAATGGAATTAACATATAAAATTGAATTTAAATTTCATGTTTTTCTATAACAGAATACTAGCAGATGTTAACAATCAGCTAATAGAACTAATAAAATGTTATAACTTGATATTAGGTGGGGGCTATTTTCTTCAATTCGTATAGGTGAGGGGCTAAAAATGTCATAATATAAGGTAATGGGTTAAAACCTACCAACTTTGTAAGGTGAAGGGCTAAAACCTACCAATTTTGTAAAGAAAAGAGCCTAAAGTGTCATGTCATAAGATGAGGGGTTAAAACCTAACAACTTTGTAAGGGGAGGGGCTCAATGTTGGTTTTTGCCATACAATGCGGGATAATGCAACCAGTGCTAAAAAAGAGGAAACAAGAGACTCACTTAAGACTTTTAACCAATAATTGATATGCGCACAATGAAGGAAGAGAAAAAGAACAGCAAAATTAATGGAACATCGGCTACCACGAATGAAACTGAAAGAGGAAAATAAAGTTTCTGCATTGCTCCTATTCATCAAACAAATATGTAACCTTCAAATAGGCAAGACTCCAACAACATAAAGCAATAAAATAGCAACCACTTAGCTTGCACATGAGTGATGGAGCTGCCACTATCCCATGAACAAGACACTTTAGGCAACAAAATAATAGATGCCTAAAGACTAGGACAATCGTAGTAACTTATTATCAAAAACACACTGTCAATATATGGATGGTCCAAAGAACACCTGACCAACATCTACAGCTAAAGAATGTTTTATGGATCCGATACTGAAATTGGGACATCTTAGTCTGCCTGAGGTGGAACATTGCTTGCTAAGTACAATACGTCGATACTGCAATTAGTCATACACAGCCAGATGAAGGTGAGTAGTTCTCCACCCTTACTGGGTTGTTGTGCATGCACTTTTGCCCTACAATTAATTGCAGCATGACATATTATTTCTGCCCAGACATGGCTCATTATCTCCTAGGGATAAGTAATAGGAGAGTTAAGAGGCTGTGTAGAATGGCTCAACTATTTTATTCACAGTTGAATGAATATATATACAAAGGCTTCACGTGGAAGAGTTTTGTCCAAGACATATACAAAAGGAAATACAAACAGATTGCCATTTATAGTACACTGAATCCATATCTGCAATAATGACCATATCAAATAATTGATCACATATTTGCAGCAATGCCCAAATCGTGTGATTGATTCAATCATTGATGAGTATCCTTAACATGCCACCGCAAGATGGTGGAGCCATCGGTGATGCCAATCTAAGATCGAAGCTGCAAGAAATGAGTGCTAGGGAGATGTTTGGTAAAGCCATCGGCAAGGTGATCCTTTGGAAGAGATGTGTGCCACCCGAAGAGCCTTTCTTTCCACCAACTCACAAACAGAATGTAAATCAATAGTAATGTGTTTCATTCGAGAATGCATAACAGGATTAATTACTACTCAAATAAGTGGCACCCAGGTTGTCACAGTACAAGGTAGGAGAACCAAGGCAAAAGATACCCAATTCATCTAACAGATTCCAAATCCAAATAACTTCAAAAGAGGTAGCAGCAAGAGCACGATATTCAGCCTCCATTGAACTACGAGCCACAACTCATTGTTTGGTAGCTTTTTAAGAGATACGGTTAAAACCAAGAAAAACAATATAACTATTAGTGGAAATATAAGAATCAAGGTCACCTGCCCAGTCAGAGTTAGAAAAACCATGCAAGGAAAGATGCTTCTGTGCAAGAAGAAGTAAGCCATGATACAAGGTCCCTTTGAGATATTGCAACACGCTTAATTTACAACCTGCCAGTGGGATTCAATGGGGTAATGAAGAAACTAGGAGAGACGATTAACGAAAAAAGAGATATCTGATCGAGTGAGGGAGAGATACTGCAAAGCACCAACAATCTGTCGATAAACAATAGGGTCAATCAAGGTGCTGTCTCTTATAAACATCTATTTTGAAACTTTCATTGATTCAACATACTGTCCAACATATTTATTAAGAAATTATTATTTTCAAATTTGAATTCAAGATATGAAAAAATTTAA